CAGGGCCGGCCCTGGGGTAAGCCCACCAAGCCCCGGGGCTGGGGCAACCCAGGGCCGGGGGGCAACCCATTCCGAACGTTCCTATACCCCTCAAACTGTAATTTTCTTTGATTTTTAAAATAGACTTTGTACAAGGGCCTTTATGCAAAAAATGTTAGAGGTTATGTTTGTAAAAGAACTCGACCCCACCTTTTATTTCAGCGATTCCAACTCCAAGTCTCTGACCTCCCGACTCCCGTTCACAAAAAAGAAGAAAAAAAAAAAGAAACCCTCCTCTCCTCGTCCAGTCCCCCTTCCCGAGCCGCCGCCGGCGGCTTCGCTCCTCCCTACCGAGCCGGCGAGCCTCCGAGTCCGTCGACCCGTCCTTCAAGCAGTCAAGCTTCACTCCATCAGGTAAAAATTTTTAACTAAATAATTTTAGGGTTTTTTTTTTGGATAGAAATTTGGGGTTTTTATGTTTTGCAATGAAATTAAGATTTTGATTTTGAATCTTGGTTGAATCTTAGTTGTTGAAGAATTAAATTAGGGGTAATCTTGGTTGAATCTTAGTTGAAGAATTAAATTAGGGGTTATGATATTTTGGAATGATATTGTTTGTTTTAATAATAATGATATTGCTTTAATAATAATGAAATTGGGGTTTGTTTTAATAATAATGATTTTGCAATGAAATAATGTTTGTTTTAATAATAATGATATTGTTTTAATAATAATGAAATTGGGGTTTGTTTTAATAATAATGATTTTGCAATTGAGCTTTGATCTTCATTGCATATTTGGTTTATGCTTTCTACAAAGCTCGGTATCATGTCCAATCAATTTAAATGTGCACAACATTGAGGTTTAAATTCATGAAGAACACGTTGAGAATATATGCTACCAGTTAGACCTTGAATTTTAATATAACTAGGTAATTGAGCAGTCATCTCCACCTCTATCAAGACTCTGTCCTTGATTGATATAATGTTTGTTTTGCAATGAAATAATGTTTGTTTTAATAATAATGATATTGCTAATTGGGAAATTGGGAAGATAAGAGCCGGGTCTGTCCTTCATTGATATTGCTAAGTTTAGTTTATTGTGATTTCATATATGTTATATAATTATATTTACAGACTACAATACACTATGACGGGAGATGACAAAAACCGAGCAAGGATTAGAAAACAAAACTCTGGAGCTCATAATAGAAGAGTCAAGCAACGTCAAGATGAAATGGCAAAATCACTACATGGCTCAATTTCTAAGCTATTCAAAGCAAAAACACAACATTCTCTTCTCTTGAATCAAGTTGAAGAAGCTAGTGCCACTACCAATATTAGTGAAAATATGGATGAGGTCATTGAGGAGCCCATAAATGAAGTCACTTATGCGGATGGAAGTCGTAAGGAGGAAGCTAGTGATGAAGATCATGAAGATCCTGTGAATGAAAATGTTCATGAAAGCATACTTGATCTTGAGAAAGATGTGGAAGTAAATTATGATCCGGGATTGTGGGGAAGTATAAATGATACTAAGAGGGTGATGATAGTTCAACGTGGTCCTATCAAGATTTTAATGAAAAATGATGAGTTTCCAAGTGAAAAGAAGAGTGGGAGAAATAGAAGTTTTTCTTCCAAATATTATATCCGTGAATTTCCAAATGGCGAGAAGCATGAAAGGAAATGGCTTGTCTATTCAAATGAACTGAATAGAGTATTTTGTTTTTGTTGCAAGTTGTTCAAGAATAAACCAATGACAACCAATTTGGCGGAGAATGGAATAGACGATTGGCATAACCTTCCTACAAAGCTTAGAGAGCATGAAAGTAATCCGGAGCATTGTGCAAATGTTGTGAAGTGGGTTGACTTGCAAAAAGGACTAAAACTAAAGGCAACAATTGATAAAGATATAGAAGCACAAATTGAAAAAGAGAAAACTCGTTGGAAGATGATACTAGTTCGAATCATTGCGGTTGTGAAGACTCTTTCTCGAAATGGTTTGCCATTTCGTGGAACTAATGAGAAGATTTATGAGAAGAACAACGGACTTTTTTGTCAACTTATAGAGTTCCTTGCAGAATTCGATCCAATTATGCAAGATCATGTTCGGCGTGTGGTAGATAAAGAAGTTCAGAACCATTATCTTAGCCATAAAATTCAAAATGAATTGATAATTTTGTTGGCCAATGAAATCAAAGCAAAAATTCTTGACAAAATTTCAAAAGCAAAGTATTTTTCAGTTATTCTTGATTGTACGCCGGATTTAAGCCACGAGGAGCAAATGTCAATTGTCATTAGATGTGTGGATATTGAAGATACAAATCAAGTCAAGGTGGAAGAGTTTTTTCTTGGATTTATAAAGGTTGATGACACGTCGGGACTTGGGCTTTTCAATCAACTTGAAGATACTTTGAATGAACTTAATCTCAACATTGATGATATAAGAGGTCAAGGTTATGACAATGGGTCAAATATGAAAGGTAAACATCAAGGTGTACAAAGAAGACTTCTTGACATAAATCCTCGAGCTTTTTATACACCATGTGGGTGTCATAGCTTAAACCTTGCACTATGCGATATGGCAAAATCATGTGTCAAAGCTAGAAATTTTTTTGCATATGTGCAAAAGGTTTACACTTTGTTTGCTGGATCAACACATCGGTGGGATGTTCTTAAAACATATGTAAAGGGTCTAACACCAAAGCCATTGTCGGTTACTCGTTGGGAAAGTCATGTTGAAAGTGTTAAAGCAATTCGATATCAAGCACCGGAGTTGCGAGACGCTTTGATTGAAATTGCAAATAGTTCTAAAGAGGACATTGTGATGGCAGAAGCTAAAGGCTTGTGTAAAAATGCTTTGGAGGATTTTGAGTTCTTGATTAGCTTGTGTATTTGGTATAAGATTTTAGATAAAGTCAATCGAGTTAGCAAAGTTAAAGTCAATCGAGTTAGCAAAGTTCTTCAACAAGAAGAGATGAATTTGGAGGATGCAATTACAAGAATAAACGAGCTTATTGTTTTCTTTCAAAAGTTTAGAGAAGATGGTTTTGAAAACATGATGAAAGAAGCCAATGAACTTGCTAATGATGTTGGTATCGATCCGACATTTCCGATAAAAAGAGTGGTTCGTAGAAAGAAGCATTTTGATGAGGATGTGGAAGCGAATGTGGAAGGTAGTCAATCACCGGAGGATAATTTTAGAGTTTCCTATTTCCTCCACATTATTGATCAAGCTCTTACATCACTCAAAGATCGTTTTGAACAATTCGAGCTCTATGAAGAAATCTTCGGTTTTTTGTTTAATGCAAAGTTCATGAGCATTGGTGAAGAAAAATTAATGGAACATTGCATTAGATTACAAAGCTACTTGGAACACAACCAACAATGTGATATACATGGAAAAGATTTATTCAATGACCTACGAGCTTTGCAAACAATATTGCCGAAGGAAGTGACTAAATCAATAGACATCCTTGACTTCATAAGATCTTATTGGGATGATGGTGGCTTTCAATGTGCATGGGTTGCTTATCGGATTTTGTTAACTATCCCAGTTACGGTTGCCTCGGCGGAGAGAAGTTTTTCCAAGTTGAAATTGATAAAAAGTTATCTTCGTACTACCATGTCACAGGAACGATTGAATGGATTGGCAATGATATCAATTGAAAATGAATACTTAGAGAAACTTGAGTATGATGACTTAATTGAAGAATTCGCTTCAAAAAATTCAAGGAGAAGTATTTTTCTTTGATGAGAATTGTAGCACAAATATAATCTCTTCTTATATGAATATTGATTTTGCATGATAATATTATCAGTTTGAGCCCAATATAGAACGCTAAATTGTATTATATGTATTCATTTTTATCGTTATTGTTCGTACCAAATTTTTAATATAAAGGGCAACCAAAATTAGATTGGGCTAGGGCAACCCAAAGCCCGGGGCCGGCCCTGGTTAGAAGTCGAGGTCACCGCCGATTTCGAGGACGAATCGATTCGTTCTCTTCCACACGCGCCTCTTCGATCGCTGGAGCATTCACGAGCGACGTCGACGTCGACTGCGACGGCGGAGGCTTCGTTCTCGACGCCTTCTGAGGCGATGGCTGACGATTCCTCCGCCGCTGCTCTTGCTGCTGCTGCTGCTGTGGAAGCAATTGCTGCTGCTATTGGTGGAGCTGTCTTTGAACTGCAGGAGGATTGTAGAACCGATCGATGCCATGGCCTCCTCTTTGGCACGGGAGAACGAGGAGGAGGCAGGAGTAGGCGGCGGGAGAGAGGGTTCCTCTTTGGCGCGGGAGAAGGAGAAGGAGGCGGGAGAAAGAGGAGGCGGTGATTGTAAACCCTATCTTTTCTCCCTTTTCTCTTCCCTCCTGTACGCAAAGATCACTTTCTGTGTTTTTTCGGCAAAAATCGGGATCTTGGGGGCGGAAAACGGAGGGAATAAAAATCCCTCGTGGCAACCACTTTCGGGCCCTCTTTCTTTTTCCATTTCCGTGAACCAAACATCAGACTGTGAGTGAAAATATACAAAATTTTCTTGTGTCAGAGAAAAAAAAGGGTTTTCCTTCACTTTCAGGCATGTTTTGTGCGAACCCGTATTAACGCCTAGGATGCTCAATAGGATTGTTAAGATTCACTATAATTATGTCATTACTAAAACTGCTATATTCAAGACCAAGGACCTAAAATCTACCTATCCTTTCTTTATTCTAAAAATAAATTAAAAAAAAAACTCTTTGAAGGAAAGTATATATCACAATTTAAGGATTCAACTAACTTTTAGTTTTCAGTGTGGTTTTATGAAATAGAGATTATTTTCTAAATCACAGTGAAACTCACAGTGATAAACTTTTAATAATTGTTAGAATATAAATTATGATAACTATAACCCTCAAATTTTACTATAACTTTGAAGTTTTTTTTGTAGTGGAAGGACTCCATGGTACTAGAACAATCTATATGCAATTCCTACAGGCTACAAGTTTTACAAAATAAAAATAAAAATAAAAATGTTATTGTTATTTGAGTTCATATTTCAGCCAAAATTTCGTATGTTTTCTTGTAAGCATAGGACGTCCTAGCTCCAATCTAATATTTAAACCTTTCATTGTATAATCCAAAACCTAATTTTGCAGATATTGAAAATCCAAACTTTCCATTTATTTCATTTCTTCAGTATGCTTCTCAAAATATCCATCAACTTCACCAGTGTCACCAGTGTCAAATTCATGTAGCACAAACAGAGAACCAGATCGTTCATAAATTTTAGCACAGGAGTACACTAATATTTACTTAAGAGCACGAATCTTGATGGGGAGTTGCTTGGGGAATCCAAGGAAAGGGAAGGAAACAGGATAGTCGTGCTCGGCCAGCTCCCACTCGAACCTCTGCACCAAATGGTGAAGAAACACCGCCATCTCCAGCTTCGCCAGCTCTGCTCCCGGGCAAAGCCGAGGGCCCCCGCTGAACGACATTACGTTGCTGTTCTTCGTCATCGTCGCAAAGATCGTCTGCAGTTTCAAGGAACGGGAATCATTATACAAGAAGAGAAGCGTCGATGATTTTGCAAGAAACAAATTAAAGATCATGAGGTGTTGTTAATTAATTAGAGGAATATGTCACAAAGGTATTTTACTAAGCTGTCATAGATATGGGTGAGCAAACAATCAGTTTTGAAAAATTTCATCAAACTCAACTGATTCATCCTAGATTTGAAAATCATATATATGGTGCGTAAGGTTGATGGGTTCATTCTCTTCAGGCTACTTAATTAGGAAAATTAGCCATTATGCTCCAAAGAAAGTGTGGTTAATCAAGTAATTAGTGGAAAAAACACAGATAAAAGGGTAAAAAAAAATATATCTGAGATAGAAAAGAATTTAAGAAAAAGGGAGAAGGAATTTTATAGACAAACAGAAAAAAAAAAGGATATGTGGATTTTAAAGAGCCAAGGGAGCGGTCGGTTCAAATTAAAGTTCCGTTAAACCAAACCTATCCGAATTTGTTACAAAATTAAACTTATCAAAATTCGATCAGTGTGACCGCTAATTGGTCAGTGTACGATGGCACCTGATACATACATGACATATTTTAAACAAATTTCATATTTTGATATTAGTCTCTCAAATCTATATATTTGGAAATTAGTCCCCTAAATCTTTCAGTGTTTTAAAATCAATACCCTGAATCTTCACATTAAATTAGTCCCCAAAATTTTAAGTATTTTTTTTTAATTAGTCCATCTAGTTAGCACCATGTTAAAAAAAAAATCCGGACACTAATTTCAAAACACTAAACATATTTGCTGGACTAATTTCAAAATATGAACATTTCAAGACCTAATTCCAAAATAATGAAAGATGTTGAGGACTAATTTTAAAATATGAAGATGTCGGGGACTAATACTAAAAAGCACTTCATTAAATGACTGTGCCTGGACACCAGAGTCTGATAGGTGCCAATGAAAATCTGGCAATCTTCAAAGCGTCTTTACATTCATTATCACTGATCAGTTCGTACCACAAATATAGGCATATCCTCGAAGGTAATTGCGCTAACAAACAATTTGGTTCTATGCCACGAGCCGCGCGTGCAATAACTAAAAAACAGAATATAAAAATTTGATAACCTAAATGGAGAAAGAACAATTTTTCAAAACAGTCCCATTTTATTTTTTTTATTTTTAAAATCGACCCATTTTTTTTATTTACCAAAACCGATCCATTTTTTACCACGTCAGCCTAATCACCCTTCTAAACAGTCGGGGTTGCCAACCCCGACTATTTAGGACATAAAATTTTAAGGTTTAAGGCTTCTAATTGGGGTTTAACACCCTCCTAAATAATCGGGTTGGCAACCCCGACTATTTAGGAGGGTGATTAGGCTGACGTGGCAAAAAACGGGTCGGTTTTGGTAAATAAAAAAATGGGTCGATTTTAAAAAAAATAAAAAAATAAAATGGGACTATTTTAAAAAATTGTTCAATAGAGAAATAAAGTTTCAATGAAACCACTTGAACGCATTTGGTTGAGCAGCAAGCACCTAGTACTTGTTAGCTATATTGCTATGAATTTGATTCAATAAGGATTAGTATTTCGGTGCATGTGATGCATGCATGATCTGAATCTTCGAGACATGTTATAATCGAATTGTTAAGAAAATTATTAGAGAGTTTGTAAGTTTGTAAGTTTTTATTTTTTATTTTTCCAAAGTTTGAGGTCGTAGACATGAAGATATTTCCGTTGATTTTTTTTCAAGTGTTTGTACATTTATTTTTTTTCCACATACGAGAGGGCATTTTAAGAATGGTAAATGTGAAAAAACTATATTAGAAATTAATGTAGTGGGTTGATTATACTAACCTCCCATCTCCAGGGGTTGTAAATTTGTGGGTCATCGTAAATTGCTGAATCCAAATGTGCTGCAGAGATTATTGGCACTACTTCCCAACCACATGGAATATCATATCCTGCACAAATCATAGTCGACAAAAAAAAAAGTTAAGAAACAAGTTTTTTTTTTAAAATTTAAACAAATATCTTATGTACAAACTTTTGAAGTATTAAATTTACCTTTGAACTGCACATCTTTAAGGGCCTTTCTGTGCAAGAACTTCACAATGTTTCCCAGCCTTAGAGTTTCATTAATAACCTATAGGCAAAAATTATAATGTTTCAATATTGTCAGCCTTCAGTTATACCTTTTTAAAGGTATAACTAATTTCATAGCAGCATAAATTAAAAAAATCTCTTATAATTTGTGTAAAATCTCACTAGAAAACTCTCAACTAAAGTTGTTCCTCCTTTTAATTTCTTATATTTCTAATCAAATAAGCATAAAAAAGTGTAATCATTAATTTTCAAAGTAACAATCATGTACGTGTTACTACAGTCACTATTAAGTTTTAGAGGGATTTCTTCGAATTCTGCAAATCTCATGACGATTTCCTGTACTCTATTTATCCTGTAAAATTTTTTGGAAGCTTACACAATGGGTGAACTCCATTTGCTTGTAATCATCCCAATTCAATCCAGTTTCGCCTCGTTCCTTCTTCTGATTCGCAATCTTAGTGTGCTCTTCCTGAAATCACCCCATAAAATTTAATATTATCGGTTAGATTCAACTACTGAATTGTTCACAAGTCTGTGATTGCGTGGAATTAATTTGAGAATTACTCGCAACTGTTGCAGGACTTTGGGCGAGGACTGCAGGAAGTAAATAGCTAACGAGATGGCAGCAGATGAGGTCTCGTGACCAGCGAAGAGCATGCTCAGTATCAAATCAAGAATCTGATCTCTCGTTAGATGTGGGTGCTTTGCGACCGATGCAAGGAGATCGTCTTCTTCGAGTCCTTGGACTCCCTCTTGAAGTTTTCGCACTCTCTCGTCTAGCTTTTGTCCCATAATCTTCAGGATTGCGGATCTCGACTGCAATTATGATAATGTTCAGGGTTGAAACCAAGTAATGAATATACACAAGTATTTTGTTTTTGGGGTTTTCTTTAAAATCCAAAGATTTACCCTAATTTATTTTTAAACCCAAATATTTTTATTTGTGCCTATAAATCCAATCAAGTTTGATTATTTATCTTTAAACCCAATCTCCTAAATACACTTCATAACCACGTGGTCTCACTCTAAAAAAAATTTAAGAGCCTATTTTACCCTTTATTTCCCTCCATTTTCTCTCCCTTCCATCTTAAAAAAACACCCCAAAATATTTAAAATGCAAAAAATACCCTAAAAATTTAAAATTTATAGAACATATCCTGAAAATTTAACATAAAAACAGTATACCCTAAATCTAGGAATTACAAAGAGTATCTTAACAAAATTTAGAATTTGCAAAAACCACCCTAAAATTTTTCAATAAACACCCTTAAAAATAAAAATTTACAAGAGCACCCTAAAAAGATCAAAACTCTCAACCATGTGTTTTATGTATTTTAATCTTTTTAGGGTGTTTCTACAAATTTTTTAGATAGTTTTTTGCAATTGTTAAAACTTTCGGGTGTTTTCTACAAATCACAAAATTTTTAGGAGCTGTTCACAATAGATTATTGGTGTACTGTCTGTAGGTTTAAATTTTTTTCATTTTTTTCTAAAATTTAAAATTTTGGGTTTTCTATGCAATTTTCAAAATATTTAGGGTGTTTTCTACAAATTGTAAATTTTTTGGGGTATGATTTTAGTTCCAAGATTTCAATTGTATTGAAAATATAGCAACATAGTACTAAAAATATAACAATGAAAAGACATAAATATAACAACATAATATTAAAAGTATAGTATGAGAGAACATATATAAGTGTAACCCAAAATATGAAAGTATAGAATAAAAAGGCTGAAAGTATAATCGGAAAAGACATAAAGGATAACATTAAAATAGTAAAAGTATAGTAAGAACATACATAAGTATAGCAAGAAAATACATGGTTGAGGATTGTAAATTTTGATTTTAGGGTGTTTTTACAATTTTTAAAACTTTTAGAGTGTTTTCTACAAATTTAAAATTTTGTAGGAAGCTGTTTGAATTTCCTAGATTTACAGTGTGATGTTTGTATTTTAAATTTCAGAATGGTTTTTTATAACTTTTGAATTTTTAGAGTGTTTTTTTGCAATAAATAATTTTAGGGTGTTTTGTTACAAACTAAAAAATAAATAAAGAGAAGGAAGAGAGAATGGAGGGAGATAAAGGAGTAAAATATGATTTTTAAATCTTTTCCAGAGGAGGACCACATGCTTGTGTTGTATATTTGGAAAATTGGATTTAATGACAAATACACAAATTTATTTAGGTTTATATATACAAATAAAACAACTCAGGTTTAAAAGAAAATTAGGGTAAAACTTTGGATTTAAAGTAAAAAAACCCTTTGTTTCTCCAGAAGGATACTATTTCTCTCAAGGAAAGTGCAAGAAAAATAATACATCGAAGACCTACATCTATTGAGACAAATAATAAATAAAATCAAAATATGAAAATACACAGAACCACTTTGGGGAAGATCAATGTTATAGTATTTCTTAAAACAATCAATATTATTATGATAATTAACTCCAGGTGAGAAAATGTCACTAGTAGCACTGGCCCTTCAAAATTCTCAGTTTACTAGTCTATCGAGAAACATGCTCAGCAGTAGATGAATTTTGATGGGTAAATATCAGCAAAATCCCTCCTTCACTTTGGAATATCAAATAACACTCTGTAACTTTCAAAATATCAGAAACCCCATTAAGTTTACACCCGTTCCCTAACCTTAAGATTTATCAGGAAACCCAGCTAAACAATATTAATTATAGTTTTCATATGAGTGAATAAAATTACATATAGAGATATTTATGGCTGTGAAAATTGGGCCTATGCTTTCAGGAGGGTTTCCTTAAAAATCCTTAAATTTAAAGGAATTTTTTTATAATCCTTAAAAGGGTTTTTTTTTTTCTGATACTTAATGGAGGGTTATCTAATAATCGTCCGAAGTTAAGGTTTTTTTTTAGGTATTTAGATAATTTTATCCTATCAAAAAATCACTTATTTAACATTAAAAATAATATTTATTCTTAAAAAAATAAACGTCACAAAATTATTTTGCACTTAATCTTACTAGTAACTCAAAATAAATAAAAAATTGTACAACTTAAAAAAGTTAAATCACGAAAAAAAAACATTAGGGATTACTTGCAACTTATTTTATACCTGCAAGGCCCTTCTGAAGGCTGTCCATGGCAAATTCAAAGGAATAGAAGCCATCCCCTTCATAAAGAAAACGTACTCGCTCCTCAACTGCTCCGTCTCAGGCATTCCAGGATCCATGCTCATCAGTTGCTTCACCATCAAATTAAACGCAAACTGCACACATTTCCCAATATATATATACATTTAACAACTACACGAATAATATACTTATCAAAAATTGGATCCAATTTTTTACCATAAAAAATAGAGAGACTCCTACTTTTAATACCAATAGTTAGAGACTCCTTTTAATACCAATAGTTCGTTTTTTGTTATACATTTATAAAATCTTCGAAAAAGTTCCTTTACGTATTTTGTAGTAAGTGATCTTCCCTACTTTTCACTAGTCGATCATAACAAGCAAATAATAAATATGTGATAGTAATTAAAAAATAGTAATCTTTATCTTCCTATTAATATTTGATATTGAAGAGGATCCGAATCTGTTCTCTTGTAGGATCTGGTGCACATACAAATAACATGGAGACCACTATTCTATTATAGTACTTGAGTACAATTACAGATAACAAAGAGGTCATTTTGTTATGATTGAAAAATCTAAAATGTTATAGAAAAAAGGTACTTGAGAAAGAAACCATATAAAATAATCGTAACTCTCAATATTTGCAAATATATCCTATAAAATCATTAATGTAAAAAAAAACCTTCACATCAACAAAATTATAAATTTGTCGGATTTGATGAGTAAATATTTGACTATTTGTCGACGTTTTTACTTTGTCGTTACAAATTTAGCCTATCTAAGTTACTTTGATGATTTAGTAATTTGGGGATAACATTTTCCAAAGTTATTTATCTTGGGAAAAACTTCAAGTGCACTCGGTTTCATTGCATTAAATATGCACGCAAATGATATCAACTATTAGAACATTAGATTTTTAAGATGCGTGTACGTCCAGATCCAACTGTTAACACCTTTTTGGGTACGCCTTTCATTTATGTTGAGTAGTTTTGCAAATATCCATGCGTCAAGTGCAAAAATGCCGTAGTACTATAAGAAAATTCTCCATTCATCGTACCTTCTTCCCTTGTTCCATCGCGGAGAAAGTAGTATTATCCTTCCAAGAATCAAGAATCTTAACAGCCTGAGCATCTACATCAGGCAGAAAATAAGTCCGGAGCTTGACATTGTTCATAAAGTTGACGGCAATAGACCTCATTTCCTTATGTATGTCACCGGCCAGCGCCAGCATCGACCACCGCCCCATAATCTCGGCGATGCTCGTCGGGCAACTGTTCTCGAACAGCCTCCCCTCGCTCTGCAGTATGAACCGATTAAACTCCGGGTCCGCCGACACAATCGTAGGCCTCCCCAACAAATTCATCCTAAATATCCTCCCATACCTACAAAAGATTAAAATGTTGAGATGAAGTTTAATTTGATTGAAGAAAGAGAAGGGAAAAGAAAAAAAAAAAAAGATACGCTAGCTTTGATGGTTTTTTTTTTTTACGAACTTGGCGATGTGTTGGTCCATGAAAGTGCCGAGAGAGGCCGAGGAATGTGGCTGCATGAAGGGGATTGTGTCCCCGATGAGAGGCCAGCCGCCGAGGTTTCCAGGAGGGAGCTTGAGGGATTTGCCGTCGAGTTTATCGTTACTACGGAAACCGAGGAAGATGATGAGAGCTATGATTAGCGTAGAGATTCCTAAGAGAAGCTCCATTCCCATGGATAGTTGAGGAAGAGGAAGAACCCTTGTTTGGTTCCCG